CAGAATGCAATGGGTCGGCCACCGAACTGAGTGAACCAACTTTCGAGCTCTGACTGAGTGGTATCGTGTGGAAGTCCCGACATGTGAAGAACCTTGCTCCTCTCCGAGAGAAAAGCTCGAACATCGGCCCGGGCATCCATGGGCCGAGTCAAGACATCGGGATGCTCCTGGGGAGGCTGCGACTTACGAATCAACCCCCGGAGGACTCGGGCAAGAGTGACAGCCTCTTCCATTGCACGTCGTGGCGAGGCAGGGGCAAGAGCCTGGAGGTGAAATGGAAGGTTGTGCTTAATCGGAGCACTTGACTGAACAGGCTCAACTTCGAGAGCGGCGCAAATGTTGGAGAGCATCGAAGGTCCGAATGGCAGGGACTCGGGGTGGTGTTGCTGCCAGCGCTGGTACTCGGTACGGAGATCGAAAGTGCGTGAGTGCTGCAAGTAAGGAGGGAGAACCACAGCCTTGTCGCGGGCCTCGCGAGGCAGCTGAACACGGAGATCCCATGCGTCAAGAGTGACGAAGACGAAATCGAGGTTCTTAGAGGTTAAGTACTCGGTAGCGAATGTATCGAATCGGGTGATAGCGTCTCTAAAGGTACCAGCGTTTCGAACATGCTCCCAAGTCAAAGTTGTCAGGCTCGCTGCGAAAACAGTGGGTTAGCTAAAATAATTTTACCTCAACATGAAAGGCCAGCAATATTGGGTTTCGGCATTTGGGCAATCGTCTGAACGAAAGAGTGCAGCATGGAGTATGTGTAACGGAAAAGGTGAGCCATTAGCGTAAGAAAACTTACTACAGAGGGGCGTAATTGGAGTATTGACGGGTTTGACAAGGACGCTCTCATGAGTAATCTGGCAGTGACAAGGCTAGTCAGTAATCGGTGTGTTATACGGAGGCATTGGCTGCTTCTGGAGGAGAATTTGGAACACAGAAAATTTTGGGGGAGGGTTTTAGGCCGGGACAGGATGGTGTTTCTCACCTCCTCAAGTGAGTTTGCGTCGACCAGGATCCAACCAAGCTCAATTACTTCGGCCGAGTCTTTTGTCACATAAACGCCGTGCTCGTCGCAGGTAGTCGCAACATGGATGACAACATATCGATCGATGTTAAGCTGGGGAAGTTGTTGCGAGGCCATATTCGCGACGGAATCGCTAGGACGAGGGTCGGCTGCGAGTTTGGGAGGTGAGAAGAATCAGTATCTGATTTGCTGGCAGCGCGGACGAGGCGGCAGCGGCGAACTACGAGGAGATCTCGTGGGTTCCCTGAGATCGTCGTAGTGATAAACAATCGAAAGGCAAAGAAATATTATGTGCAACTAGCCCGTGGCCCGGCCAGCTCGCGATGAAAGAGGTAGAAAAGTATACGTGAGGTGGGTGAGCGGGAAGTTGACGGGAAGCGGAACGGATGTGGATGTGGCCAGTAGTTGAAATGCCAGCTTCCAGCCTTCAGGGGAGTTGGTGCCAAACACGAAATGGGCCTGAGGCGGGTGCTTTCTCTCCTAGGGGATCAGGCCCCGTAGGTAATGTAGTGGAGAATGTCAGCACACGCTACCAGGCTATTTAAAGAGCCGGCCATGAATGAAGGGCGATTGTTCAACTTCAAGGGCAGTATAAGTTAGGTAGCATATCGTTAGGTCATAAGAGATTAGCTGTGGAGGGTGGATTCTGTAATCAGTTGGCAGCTATCGCTCTTGGAGGCGTTAAAAAATACCTATTGCTATCGAAGCTCACACTTTCAACTAGGTTCTACCATCAACCTCCGTCGATGCTGGCCTTTCTTGAGCAATCAGGGAGCCACAGTCACCTGTAAGGGGAAACACAGCTTCAATACCTCCACTACCTTACCTACAGTACCTACTAAAGTAGGTAGCTATAGGTAGTACTTTCAAATAGCAGACTATAAACGGGAGCTACCTATCTCATAATGTCCAGATACAGATACTCTTCTGATCAAGACACCTTCATGGCTCAGAATGAGGTGTTCCGGTAAACCATATATTCTTACCTAAGCTATTGACCGTTGGAGTCAATTGACGAAGGCAAGGTTTGACGGACCAACATTCTGTAAACGTTCTTCTGGGTTAGGTAGTGTTCAAAGCGCTTGACATCGAAAAGCTAGGTACTCTCAGTATTTCTTTAGGTACATCACCAAACTTTTCTTATCAATAGGTACCTTACCTACCTAAATACTTAAATAAACATGTTCCGGCTCGTACCTCCTCACCGTGTGATAATGCAGTGTTAAGACCCTGACACAGCCGCTCTTGAGTTGGGATATGTTAGTAGTTTCGAACCCAGCTTGGAAATCTTCACTTTCCGATGCGTCCGAATCCTACCATCTCAAACTCGGCTTGATAATTCGAAACTTTGCCATTCCGCTCAAGTTCTCAACACATCAATATCGTCATGAATAAGGTAGGTTGGTAGGTAAGGTACCTTCGCCAAGACTACAAGTAACCCTACCGCCCATACTCCACGTTTTTGACAGTTCGTAATTCGTCCTCCCAATGGAACCCACTGATTTCTCGCAGCGACCGCGCGTAATTACCATTGCCAACCACATTTCACGATGCGTATACATGACTGAGGTGTCGAGGAAAAGGATTGGATCTGAATTTGCTGTGCTAGATCCGAGACGCATTGATAATAATACTCCAGCAAATCAATTCAATCCCGCTGAGATTTAGGTTCCATGTGAACAGTGACAGATTCGTAAGAGTAATCTAACGAACCTACCTACCTGTGAGAAATGGTCAACCGCAGACACTGTTGTGGCCAGTCGACTAACAGCAATCTCCGCTCAGGCAGGGCGAAAGCCAACAGTACAGTGCCAGCCTCATTATCGGACTGCTCCAGACCCCGATTCTGTTCTGCTGCCACCGATTTAACAAGACCAGACGCTATTCAAACGCCTAGGTATTAGTTCACACTCATCTAGCTTGCACTTTGTGGCATTTGAATATTTACCCAAACAGGTACTATAAGAACAGCAGAAATCCATCATCAGTCAGGCGGGATGGCCTAGGTAGTTAGCACATGGTAAAGTCCCACCCGTGCGCGGACACAGATTTACCGCCTAAGGTGAGGCGTCATCAACCTCGCTCCAACTACATCAGTCAGTCCACAATGATGCAGACCCCTCCCCCCTTCACCTCTTCTCTTTTCTGCTGCCACTTGACTTTGGATCTTCGTAATGCTGGGTTGATCGAAGCAAACCCGTTGAGTAGCCTAACTTGCGAGCGAATCATGTCTGCACATGACGTCTGCTGCGTTGTGTAGTAATATAATCCAAGGTCGATTGATAAGCCTCTTTTGCTGGGTAACCTTTGAGCAGCTTTAAGACGCACAGGACGGACAACATTGCTTATAAAGAGAGTAGGGGTTCACGATCTATGTTCTATATCCCGCGAGAGCTGATAGCCCAGATGTTCACCGAAACAGGCCGCAAGTCTTCGTAGTTCATATGTAGTCTGAGAAGGCTCCCAGACGCAAATGAATCCCATCCAACTTCTGAATGTAACGGAGTACTCAACTATCTAGAATTCTAGATAGAGTAGCGAGATTATCTGATGACCTTAACCAATATTATCCCAGCTATAAATAGAGCCGGAAACGTCCCCCATTAATATGTATTAACTCACTCTTGTCTTTCAAGACTACGGATACGGGGCTATAAGGTCAGTCAGTCATAATGTCATACCAGAGTATCACTATGCCAGACAAGGGGTGACTCTGATGAGTTTCGGCTGGTGGCCAACAAGGATTTTAATAACACCATTTACGGGTTCATCTCGGTATCAATACTTCAGGTTCACCTTTAGAAAGGGTACAACGTTCAGAGGCCAACAGCTACTGACGTGAAGGCAGAGGTGTCTGAATCAAACACTCTGAGAAAGGCTGCTCATTCTTCCCACCAAAAGAGAAGACACGATAATATTATATATATATATATATATTATTCTTCAGGCAAAGCATTTACTTCTTTACATTCCACTATGCCCTAGCATATAGTTGAGCCATGTTTTCTCATTCTTTGGTTTTTCTTCCCTTATCAATGTGAAGATGGCCAGGTGACAGAAGGGTACTTGATCACAGAGAGTCTGTCTCTACTCCTCGATCTTATTAGCCCGTGATGAGACTTGGTACCTAGGTAAGTTTTCAACTTCCACAATAGTCGATGAGTGATGAGCAGCTCGTCTGATATAAACGACCTGTCCCCTAGAGCTCAGCCTCCTCCTTCGTCTTGGGAACCGGACTTTCGCAGCTGCCACAAAAACTTTCTAACATGGGTCATCAATCACATGCCCGGACATCAATGCACCTTTTCGACGCAGCACTGGCTAGAGGGGATGGGTAAGTAAGAATGATTGTAACTCTACGTTCCACTGGAGTGCTGATCAAGAGAAGAACCGTTGTGATATGAGCAACATGATGCAGGTGATTGTGACATTCTGAACATTGTCGCGTTGGTGGTGGTCTACAGTAGCCTACCTTAGCCTCTTGTGCTGTTGGTAATTGGACAGAATTCGCTGGTGAATGGTCTAACAGGCCAGTGACAATAGGCTCTTCATGCCAAAGATCTTCTTACTCACTTCTGATAATAATGCCTGAAAATTACAAATTATAGTATGTTGTTCAGTATATCATTCTAAGGTTGGTCTCCTAGACTCAAATATTAAGATCAGGATTAATTCTTTTTCGTAAAAAACATCACTCTACAGTATGGGCTGTTCTTGGAGGCTTCACCACAAGATGATTTCTTGGGATTCACGGCAAATTTTATGCCGACGTGGCCTACGTCATAGCCTCCCTGGCGTTACAATCAAGAATAACGAAGGCCTCACGTTACTTGGAATCATTTACGTGGCGCACATTTTCGACGACTTCTGTGACGACCTTACTTGTTTCCTCTCAACTAACAGAACGCGAATTCACGGCTTCTTGAGTCATCGACAGAACTACCTCTTAAAACATTCCTCAACCTTGCGTCAACGAGTCGCAACCATGGGTGCTATCTCTGCCGTCTTCCTTATCCTCATTACAATCTTCTGTCAGTCGCAGACTCCTCCTGATCGTATAATGCAAAGTAAAACTAATGTGGTCACAGTCCCTCCCATCGGCGTCTGGGCCGTTGCAGGATGTGGCATGGGTATGCAACATATATCTATCTGGCTGCACTCGTATGCTAACTTTCTCAGATCTGTTCATTAACATCTGCTTGACTCTTCTTGGCTTCATTCCGGGTCATATTCACGCCTTCTACCTTGAGTACATCTACTACGATCGCCGAGAACAGGCGCGCGAGGGCCGTTTTGCGACAGGACCTGCGCCTGGCATTTACTCCGACAACGTGCAAACTGGTGGACAGGGCTATGGAACAATGGGGCGTGCAGCATAAAATGAGTAGACATTGGTGGCAATCGAATATCGTTATGGGCTGTATTCGAACTCAGGCGAGGTTGTTTGCATCACCTGGGTCGCATATTCGCCGACATCGGCTGCGATAAAGGTGGTGTACCAGTAAGGAGCTGATGCCTGCCTAACCTTTGGGTTATATACGGATCAATTGGTCTGGTGTGAGAACGGCGACGCAGTATCAACACCATATTAGTATGCTACTGTCGGAAGACACATGGTACATCTTAGATAGTGTTGAATTCAAGTTAGATTTCGATATTAGTCCATACTGGTAAGGGAAGGGTTTGAAAATCCAATTATAGACAGAGGATACCATAACGCCCGTATGTATAGTCCGTATTGTTGAATATCCCTGCATGTAAAATCGAACATTGGGAGCGTACTGGGAACTAATAAATGCACAAAATTTGCTACGTAATGACTTGGAGGTGTGAGTTGTCCGCCTTGGCCATCCCAGCATGTGCATTGATATGTGCCTATTATCCATACCAAAACTACAAGTGTACCACAATGATTACATATGTCGTGCCAACGTAATTGACAGGAATAGTTTCAAATACACCACACGCCGACACACGATCCTAGGGGTGAATCCTAGTTCTTAGGTGTATCATATGTTTGTTTCAATAAACCCAGCTTTCGACAGGCTGGACATTTGTGAGCAATGAATCTTCTTATGGAGGTGGTTCAGGGTAAGTACCTAGGTACCTAGAGATATGTTACCGAGAGCTTTATTGTAGATGCAAGCCAATGAAAGACAATGCGGGGACGTCGCCCGAGACGAGCTTGATCCCTTCACTGAGTGCCTAATTATCGACAGCCACGACACTCATGCATAAGGGCCAAATTTGGGTTGTCCTGATTGGCTTCACTACGTAGACTACTTCCTATCAGCCTCAAGAATTAACATCAATGGACCCAGAGGGAAAAGCAACGAAACGCATGTGAGAGAAAATATCCCCTATTTCTTTCCTTTATTTTCTAAGACACCCTTTGCTCTTGCAGCTTGCTGTCTCAGATCCAGCGTTATGAAGTTAGGTAGGTAGCTTCAAGTTAGAGGCCTGCCTGACTGTACAGCCAGCATTCTCTTCAACATTAGAGGTACCGACTAGACCGGCTCTCTCAACCTGACTTATTGCCTCTCCCTGCAATCTCATCATCTATCAGCTCTCATCCCACATCTCCACCAAGAACAAACAAAACCCCTCGCTTTACAACTACGCCGTATCTGTAGCCGGAGAGTGCCATACTGTTCTTTTTGCTACTGTCTGTTGCATCTCCTGCATCCATCGACCCACTGCACCACGTCTTGCATCAACGGCTTGACCGTCCCGTTAGCCAAGACAGACCGAGACAAGACAAAATCAATAATAAACCAGACTCCATGGTTTTACGTTTTGTTGCCTTGCCGGCGCCCATCACTCGCTATTCATTGTTCTAGCTGCCCAATCCACACATCCTCTGGGTCGATGCGCCAAATTGTTCGGAGCACATCGTTCCCATTAGGTACCTTGCTACACGCTACTTGCCTAGGAGCTAGGCTACCTAGGCCAAAGGTACTAAGTTTTCTACACTTGCTTCTTTACCGCTGCCTATGCAGCTAATCCCCGGAACACCTTGCATAGGTATCCTAGACCGACTGTTGACCACGACAATCATCATCCCAACAGCTTCCCCATTTCAGCGTTCGCTTGCCACCCTCAAGTGTACACGTCTGTACAGATACTAGCTACAAGCCCATATGCAAAGCTCTAGTATACTACCCTAACTCTGCCGCTTCGGAGCATCTAATGCCCGCCCCAATTGGTGTACACCTGGGGTGACATTTGCGTTTGACCCGAATCAACACATCGCTCTATCGCCTCCAACTCCCATACCTGTACAGAAAACAAGCATACCACACACCACATTCATACTATATATATACAGAGTCAGGTTCCAATTCACCATCATGCGATCCCCTACCCCAGAGGAGCTCCTCCAGCCGCCCCAAATCCATCAACACAAACCATCTCGACACCACGCCTCTACGTCAACCTCATCAACACCGGCCCTCAGCAAACAACGTCCACACTCTCTTCAATTCTCCTTCCCACCCCTGTTCCAGACGAACGCCTCATCGACGAGCCTGGTGCCCTCAACTGCAGAGGGAAAACCCATTCCTGTTGACAATTCAACTGCTGAGCATCGAACGTCGGCTCTTCGAGAGTTGAATACCAATTTCCCCACTCGCCATCGATACGCACAGTCTACTGGTGCTCAGAGCAGTACCTATTCGCAGCCTGTGATCGTGCGAAGTTACTACGCCCCTGTACCAGCACAGCCTGCGGACAGAGGAGTCATTGTTGTCAACGGTCGAGGGCACCGCTCAGCACTTTCAGAGAGTAGCGGTCCTTCAGCTTTCGTACGACGAGTGCTGCCTTTCGGTACAGGTCCTGCCTCGGTCCGAAATGGAATTATGGGTACAATGGCGAGAAATCGAACAAAGAAACGCATCGAGGATGAACCAGAGGAGCCAAAACTTCCATCTGTCGAAGCCTTCCGCTTCAAAAGCTTTATGGCCAATTTAGAAGACCAGAGTGGCGGTACTGATATAAACGCTGATCTGGACCGTATCGCAGAGATCTGTGCTAAATCACGATACTCACTTAGCAACCAGTATGAAGTTCATTATGCTCCCCATGGCTCAGGCTCGTCTTTTATGGCTCCAGCTATCGAGAGCCAGGAGGCTCAGGGACCCACCCTTCAAGCTGTGTCATCCGACGATGAGAGGAACATCAAACAATCTAGAAAACGACCCATGGGCGTGAGGAGGAACAGCAGAGCCATGGGAACACTGGAGACCATAATGTCATCGAGTAGATCATCGGATGAGGATAAATCGAAGAAGAAGTCCGCTGCAGAGATTGCTGAGGACGTTCGCGGCAGAGCCACACAAAAAGGGTCCAGCAAACACGGATCATCGGTCTCGTCTGAAGAAGGAGCCAGCGAGAACATGTTCATGGAAGAGGAGGATGTAAGACAGCGGTCACCTCGCCAAAAACGGTCTGGTTCACTGGCCCTTATTGATGGCAATCGGTTGAGCATGCACCTCCATGACTTGGATTCGAGTCGACCCACGGCTGCTGGTCTTGTCAGTGAGCCTGCCTTACCTCAAACATCAAGCAGCCAACTCGAAATCCGAACAGCACCTGAGATAACAAACAAAGAGCATCCTCCTGGTTTACCAAAGAAGGGTCTCGCAGCCACAGAAGGACTTGACCAGCCGGTTGTCCATGGCTCTATATCTGCAATCGAGACATCTAACCAAAGGAGCAATTTGATGTCCACTCTTAGTGGTTGGATGACCTGGCGGTCGTCTGATACTTTGCCATCGACCAAGGGCCGTGCAGAGGTTAGTCTACGTGAGCTTCTGAAGACTCGAGATATCAAAGGAAAAGGTGTCGAGGCGGCGGCGGATCAGTAAAGAAGAAGACGAAGCTCAAACAAGAGGAACACAGCACTCTTGCTCAAAGACATACCCGCATACTTAAAAAGGGCAGTTGGGTTGGGTAATCACCCATGATTCAACGCCCAGCAACGATGTAACGAATTACTCACGATTTTACGAAGCCAATAATGATATGATTAGGGATGGGACAGATGCAGAGAAGTCAAAAGTATGAGATCCTTTGGTTTTATCGGATCGAGCTGCCTATTGAAACTCCAAAAAGGGTCGGCATTAGCAGCAAGTAACATTTGTGTGATAGGACTTCCTCAACGACAACCCAAGATAATAGGTAAGCTGCAATATCTTTGACTGGCATGGGGAGTCCTAGGACTTGTCGCACATAAATAGACCTCGATGATGCACTTAGCTGGCCGCGATTGTCTTCCTGAGGATGGCTTAATACATATTAACGGGCTTTCGCTGTCTAATTTTCGCCCCGTCTTTGATTCACTGTCTTGGTCATTTCTATATAGCAACAATACTTTGCCATGCCTTCGTCAAAAAGAAAATTCTGTTCCAGCTCTGTAACCACTGCCCATCCAGCGCCAATAGGCAGGATGCAAAAAAGAAGGCGATGAAGCCGGCAAAACAAATAGAAACCCATGCCAGCGCCCATGCATTATGAATGCTTCAGGTTCCAACATGAGAAGTTATGAAGCCACCGAGACTCAAAAGAAACGAAGGATGATATATAAAAACAAAAACGCCAGTCCCCTGATTTGGTCGCCTTGGCCTACGAGGAGACGAGACGCCCAACAAGAGGACGGGGAACGTCAAATTGCCTCGAAGACTTCTGCAGATTGGGTAATGCCGTCTGTGTTCGAAAGTACCAAGTGTATAGCCGAGGAGTAATCGTTTCGAGTTATAGATCAAGGTATCATGGATATTACGCTTCAGAGGTCGAATTCGATGGTGCGACTGCCGGCTTGGGCTTGTTACCACCATTCTTGTCAACCTGTAACCGCTTTGTGTCGCGCTGGTCGGTCCCTTCATTAATGCGTTTCTTATCCTTCTCTTTGTCCCGCCCGGCATTCTCTTTAGCCAGCTTTTTGGCTTCTCTCTCGCGTCGATCGTTCTCCTTCCTCAGGGCTTTAGACTCGAATTCATGCCAGTCGTTATGTGTTGCGAGTCTACGGATCGGTTAGTTAGTGATGCTTGTCATATGCAAGCTTGATCGACTTACTCTGTAGCCTGGCGGGCTGCTGGTGCTTCTTCCGTAAAGTATGCATGTTGGAGTACCTGTGCAGCGCTGGGCCGTTTTGCAGGGTCGTAATGGAACATGGCGGAGAGCAGGTCGAAGGCGGCTGGTGACATCTTATCACGGTATTTTTCTGCGAAGACATTCCTTCTCTTCACAGTGGGGCGCAAAAGTTCAAACCAAGCCATATCGACGAGATTGGGCCAGTCTTTCAAATTCGGCGTGCCCATTACGTTGTAGATCTTTTCCAGTTGGCTGAGCTCGGTCCCGTCACCTGGGAAGATGGCATTTC